CGACAAAATATTATCAACAAACTCGACTGGTTGCGTTGATTTAGACCTGGGTAGCTTGATGAGTTTGATCAAACAATGAGATGCAGTCTCTCCATATTGAGCTTGGGCATCCTCAAGGTCATCGTTGGCATCTTGTAAGCTTTGTAAAGTTGAGAACAGTTTCAAAGACATCCCCATCATTGGGAGCTTTTGATCGTGGTGATCTTCATTTTCCATAGATTCCCAAATTTTGATGCAGAACTCGAGGGTTTTTTCCCAGTACGATCCGTAAACTGATTTGATGGCCGGGAGCAACTTTTGCAGAGCAAGACAAGATTCAGAAGAGAGCTGATAATTGGTGTCTGAAATTTCCGGGGTCCATGAGAGAATTTGCTTGACCGCAAACACTAGTCGATTCTGTGCCACGGGAAGATCATCATTGTTGTACACGGATAATGTTGCATTCAGGAGAACAAGTCGGCCGAGAGTTTTTTCAGATTGGGCATCGGCACTAGCAACATCACTAATGATCCGGTTGCAAAGGTTGCTGACAAGCTGGCTAGTACTGAGGGTCTCGTGAAGACCTGTCAAGATGGCAACAGCCCCTAGAATGTTTGATGTAGATGATTTGAGAATTTCAAGGCTGGAAATCCAATCTTCGCCTCCCACTTGCCATCCATGTTGTTCAACAAGTTTGGGTAGTAGATGGCTTAACACACGAGCCGAGTAGAAAGACGTAGATGTATCGCCACAGGAAGAATTTATCAGCTTTGAAATAAGGATGTGAACAACACCCGAAAATTCAAGCGGTGACCCCGACTCAGAACCATCTTGCCAAGCTTTCGAGTGCAGTACGATGAATGACCATGAATCTTGATATATTCGGTCCACAAAATCGCGCACGCCAGCAATAGCTTGTTCCGATGATAACACGAAAAGCTTGTTATTTTCTAGTATATCGAGCTGGTCATTGGCAAGCTCCACAGTCAAGCACATGAGATATATAATCTCGACAAGAGCATCCTTTGACAAGCGATCAGGATGGTCTCGAATTAAATGTGCCGAATACATTGCCATTCTGAGAGCTACGGAATATCCATCTAGATCTCTGCTAGGTCGGCTACCATTGTTACCACTTTGTGCACGCGCCAAGAATACAGCCCCGGCGAATGGTCTCATGACTCCCAAAGTAGGACTTGGTGCTTGATCCAACAGAGGTGCTAAAGCTTCAGACCATTTAGTTGCACTTGGAAATAGTTCGGGATGGTGCGAATTATCGTCCAACGTGCTGATAACCGCTTCGGCCTGTTGAACGAGTGTATCGATACTAAAAATCAACATCAGTCATTGCTCCCTCGGACAATCATTTATTGCGGTTAAGGATTTTAAAGATTATACTCACGTCAGTGATCGAGGACTTGCGTTTTCCAGATTTTCTTTGAGTATATGAACTACAGAAGAAGTAGTGACACCACTTTCGTTGTCGACCACCGATCGTAAATTCAAAGCCCGTTTACCAAGCTCAGAATCTGAGAGTTCTGTCAATGCCAAAAGTTTCGTGATTAAATCTACGTGTGCGTCTCCTTCTCGAATAGCTTCAGGTCGTCTTTTGGATAGCAATTCAAGTGCCTGAAAGACAAGGTTTATATTGGGGTTGGAAGCATCTAGTAGAGAGATTAGGCTTTGTATCAATAACCTTTCTGTTGATTTGGAGAATCCATCAAAAATTACCGCCGCTTCGAACAGTGCGCATTCCTCATTATTGCCTTCGACCACATCACGGGAAGTCTCAAGGAGAAGATCTTGAAGAGCTTGGTCATCACGAACCAAATCCGAAATTTCATTGGAAGACATCAGAGCTGTGATGGTTTTCTGTCGCTGTAAATTTCTGGGGGTCGATAGCAGAGCATCAATAGCCGCCTGCCAGATACTCTTGTAAGATACTTGCTGTCCAGGAATCAAACGAAACTGGTCTAAAGCTGAAGTTAAGTATGTAGATGATGGCGACAAAATTAATTTAGGGAGATAGGTTTCCATGAACGATTTAATGCCGTCCAAGACTGAGGGGGAGGCTTCCATCAGTTGTGGAGAGTATCTCAGCGCTGATTCTAATACTGCTCCAGCCGAGTAGGGTTTTCCATTCCTGTTGATAATTACTTGGAGAGTACTATCTATAATATTGCTCGAAGGTTGAAGGAGTGGATTTTGATCAGCTGTTAGATCATTTAACTTGAAGACGTCAGACAGAAGTGAAAACCACCGGTGGCCCTCAGCCATGACAGCACCTTGAGAAGATGAATATTCTTTAGATTGCTCTGGCATTGATGTTTGAATTCTTGTAATAAATCCTTGGGCGAGCTTTTGCCATTCTTCAGCGAGTGAGTTTTGTAATTTGGATTTCTTCCCCAAGCTAGAGATAAAAGCAGATATAGTTGACGATGGTGTATTATTTCTGATGAGCCATTCTGAAGTTCCTGGAGATGGATGTAAATAATGCTCAAACATGGGATATGTAGATTTCTGTACAATCTCCACTTGCTGAGAACTTGACAGGTTCACGATACAGATGTTGGATGTTTCTCCGTAAGCGAGCCATGCCTCTGAAGAGTTGGCCCTACTCTCCTCCCTCTGGTTGATACTCTTGCGAAATACCTCCAAAAACTCTAGGATAGAATTGGGGGTTTGAGGCAGAACATCTATGGGTAAAATTGCCACAAGAGCTCGCAATGTTTGCCAATAAGCAGGGGAAGAGCCTTGTGAGCCCTTTTGAACAAAAGAGATCAGGTCGCCGATAGCAGTAGAACGTTTAGCTTTATATGCAGAAGTCCATACTTGAGGAAATCTTTTGGTGAGTTGGTGCAAAGTCTGCAATAGTTGCAAAGCAGATGTTAATTGAGGAGATCTCAATGCCTCGGATATGAATGCACGACTGATAGTCTCAAGGTTATTCTCGACCAATTGAGTCTGCTTCTCTAGGCAAAGTACGAGTAATTTGTCGGTACTTTTTCTTGCGGGAGCATCTTCACATGATGCCAGCGTCCATAGTTTTTTGTTGCCGAAAATAACCTTTTCGTACCTGTCTTGATGCTTAAGCATATCATCATCACCTAGCTTGGCTAGCAGATTGGCGAGAAGAGATACACTGGCACTATTCACACGGAAGTACTTTTCGTTTGCTTCTTCTGTCGGGACAGATCTTTCGTCACTTAAAGTATTAGGATTCTCATTCAAAGCTTCTTCGGCATAGTCGAGGATCTCATTCTGGCAACGTTTCCAAAACAGATTAATTTTAGCATCCGTATCGAGGAAAGATGTCAGACCATCTATCGCCGATCGTGCCACTGCTCGGTCTCTATCATATGTTCCTGCCAGCCAGCTTCCTACGACTCTGGGTATATATCTTTCCATTCTTTTCCGTGCTGATTTTAGGAGCTCATACTGTATGCTGTGAGATAGCTCGCGAACACGACGTGAATTATCTATGGAAATTCTAGGATAGACATCGACCTGTATATTATATTAGCAGAAGCACTCTAAGATTCCTTCGGCGCATCCTACCCAAGCTTCTAAAATTGCTTCTTCAGTGCCTCCTTGCTCATTTGGCTGATTCTGAACGAACGTTCGTAAATCCTCTAGAGCTTTCGACTTTGTTGTAGCGTCTTTCTTCGAAAGATTCTTGAATGATAGAATGACATTTGCATCACTAATGGAAGAGAGGTTTGATGGTTCTGTAAGGTATGATAGTCTGGTGGTTTTTGTGGTAAAGCCAAACCCGAAGCCGGCGCCAGTGGCAGTTGAAGCACGAGTGCTAGAAGCCTGCGATTTGAATTGTCGTCTGCCCATGTTATGCAGACGTTTCGATGAAGACAAGGGTACAAAATAGGTTGTATGAAGTATAAGGATTATCTGCTTGTATGTGGAGGGGAGAGATAAGTTTATGAGCAGTGGAGAAATTTCAAAGGCCGAACAATCAATGACGGAATTGAAGTGGTGGTGGGGTGGTGGTTCAAATGTAGATTGTCCAATAATCGAGCTGCAACGTGCTTAGTAATATTTAAGCCACTGCCTAGTAGCAGCCAATCTAGCTGTGATAGGATTAGTGCAGGGCTAGAGCTCTTAGAGCGAGAGGATAAATAATTCTGCCGAATTTGAACTTCCCAGGCGGTCAAGTAAGGATTTTCGGCTGCTAGACAATTGACGTGATGTATGGTGCTAATCAGTCGTGGCCAAGACCTAAAAGAAAAGCTTCAGTATATCTGCGAGTTGACTGATACGGCCTGGGAAAAACAAGATTTTTTCTTGTAGTTCAACGAGAAGTTTGAAAGTACTCTTCGCTCATCCGTGAAGTTCATCATCATTAAGTTCAGTACCCCACTTTTCGGCCACCCCACTTTTCGGCCATCTCATAAATCTCACCACTCTAATTAACCACCTCTCTTTAATCTTTAATAATTCAACAACTACTAAATCAATTGATTCAAAAATTTGATATGTTGTTAATTATATTATAGGCAGTGGTTATATTGAAGATGATATTGTTATAACATTTAATGTTATAGTAGGAGGTATGATTATTAGAAAAGTTGATTTAAATTATGGGATACTTTGTACTATTCTTTAGTGTTGTATAAAAGGTTACTTTTCTTATCAAAAAGGTGTTCAAAATATGTAAAAGATAGCTCTGATATAAAAGAAAGCATTAGTCGAATAGATATTAGTTCAAGAGGTTTTGGGTATTAGTCCTATATATTGGTAGATACAAGAAATTGACGAAACCCTTTTTGAAATGAAAAGGAATAAGTTTACACTTGGAAAACAATAGATATGTAATTTTCTGCTTAAAAACCCTGAAATTCGAATCAAAAGATAAATCAGAATCGATAATTAATATATTTTAGGTGTTATTACCAAAATTATTAGTAAATTCTTTGAAAAATTGAATTTGCTGGTTATTATTTATATTAAGCTGGAAAATAGATGGAATATGAATGAAGCTGGTATTATGGAAGGCTAGGGCTTAAATGGTATGGTACTTGGAAGTGCTAAGAAAAGCTTTATTCAAAAGAAATAGTTTGGTATAAGAAGTTGAATCTCTTTTATTGAGTGTATCTTTGTTATAAAAAAAGTATTATTATTTTTTGTTATATATAAGGGTAAAAGTATTCAACAATAATGATTCTCTACTAAGCTTGATATATATAAGGATTAGAAATTCTATACTGTAGAAAATGAGTGGATTATTAATGAAACAGATCTAGTATGGTTAAAAGAGGTTTTTATTCCTCAAACCGCCTTTTCTAATTCAAAAAAGGCTAGATTGCTTGTTTTAGACGGGTATGGAAGCTACGAAATCACTCAATTTATACTTAAGTGCTTCAAGAACAATATATACCTTTTGTTTCTTCTTCCATATATATCATATGTATTACAACCTTTTGATTTATTGATATTCTTTTTTCTAAAACATAAATACTGGTATAAACTTAATAAATTAGGTTCACTATTTGATTCTATATTTATAGGCAAGAGGAATTTTCTTGTATACTATCAGAAAGCAAAATTAAAGAGTTTAACTCTGAATAATATCATTTTAGGATGGAGAGCTTCAGATTTATGGCCTTAAAACCGCACTAAGCCTCTTTTGTTTAGATTATTACTTGAAAATAGTAATAAAGAAGTTTAAAGTTTGAATTCAATTTCAGATAATGATTTCATGCTTTAATAAAATATAAATTCATTTTTAATTCGATGGGAAATGTTATAAAAAGTAAATGATTTACAAAAATATATATTAATATTGGAATTTAAAAAAGAAATAGACTTATATGCTCATCAATTACTCTTTTGAAAGATTCAAAAAGTATTTGATATTAAGAACTATGAAATTATGAAGTCTAAACGTTGAATAAAGAAATTAGAATACAAATTAAAATATGTTATACCTAAAAAAAAAAAGAGGAAGGTTAACATTAGCTTAAATTCGAAGTTTTTTAGGATTAAGGTTATATATTAGGCTCAAATCGAAGTCGGTGATTGTGAAATTGATAGGGTGGATTCTGATAGTATATATGAAACTGATGTTACAGAAGATTGTATTGTAGTTGGATAGTTGTTGAATTATTAAAGTTTAAAAATTATATATATATATTTTATAAGGTGGCCGAAAAGTGGGGTGGCCGAAAAGTGGGGTACTGAACTTAATGAACGAGTATCTCACAGCATCTTTGCAGATATCTTACCTAGGCGAAAATGGCGCCTTTATTCAAATTTCACTGGTCGAACAAATGTGAGCTCATACTGTTGGAGAGATGAGGTAGTATTGAAATATGAAAAGAGTTTGATTGCTAAGAGTTTGATTGCTGAGAGTTTTGATAATGCCGGCGTGGTGTTGAGTTATGGGAACGGTTGTCTACAGTCAAAGCTCGTGCTCGAGTACCTTGTGTACATTGTGTTCCACTCCAAATCAAAGCCATGGTCCGCTTCACTAGTTTCTTCCAGCCATCAAATGAATCACAAGAGGAACTTAGAAGACCACTTTCATCAGCTGCGCCTTCTGTTGAGGGCCAGGTTGATAACTTTACCGAAGACGGCGATATAGCTCCAATAAAGACTACAGATGGTACAGACGAGAAAAATAGCACTACCAGATCCATAAATAATGCGAAAAGCAAAATTTCATTTAGACCCACGGTTTCGATTGAAAATGAAGGGAATGGCCGCAAACTCAGTATCCCTAAAAGTAGAGGGCGTAGGAAGATCGAAGAGCCTCTTCCCATGGCGAGATGCGAAGTGTGTCATAAAGCCAAAATGAAGATCGACCCTGCGACATCAAATTATGATGCGAGGCTAAGACATTGCGTTAAATTCTTGACAATGCGTGCTAATGGCGAGCGTGTAGCGGATTACCGCTTACCAGACGGTGGCACACATAAGTTGCCTAACAAGCTTCGATCCTTGCGGAAATTCTTGAGCAAACACTCCACTATAATAGAGAAGTCCACTGCAAACAAGATGCCCGTTTCTCAAAAATTGAGGCAATACATAGATATGAACTTTACTGCGAATTATCTATTCGAAATTCGAACTGCAAACCAAGATGTTTCTGAAAACGAAGAAAAGTGGCATTCATCTTTCTGGGTTCCTAGAAATTGGGATCCAGACAGCTCAAAGCCATGTTCTGGGATACGCAATAATCTCTTTTGGAGGTACTATGGTGGACCTTTTCAAGTCTATCCGGGCCATTTTTTTTGTCCAATGGATGAGATCAGAAGCTGCCACAATTCATGCAAGACAGTGAAGGGCACAGCAGCCACAAAAGACTTCCGTCTCCTTGAAAATGTCAAGCCGATGAATGTTCGCATGAAATGCCGATGTGTTGAAGGGGGAAAGAATAGCCTTGACCAGAGCTGGAATGTACGATTATATAAGCGAATGTCGGAGGAAGAGAAGAGGAACGAGAAAGAAAAGGAATATCAGGAAGGATTGGCTTTTGCGAAGCCTAATGATAATCGAAAGTCGGGGGCGAAGGTGAAGGAGAATTCCGAGTCGAGTTCCTGGGCAAATCCTGGTCTTCAATTTGATTCCTTAGCAGATGACACCAGACTAGTCCTTGAAGAAGCTGATAGAGCCGCAAAGAAGAGTAAGGATAAGCAAGATCCTATCAAGTCACTGGAAGGCGAGAATGGCCTACCAAGAATCAAGGAGGAGATCAACACAAACCCCCAGAATGAACTGGTAAATAATGAAAAAATTTCAACTCCTGTTAATGAAAACATTGCATTCACCGATTATGGAGCTTCTCAGAACACCGGCTTAGAAGGACCAGAAAGAATCCGAGAACTGCACCCTTCCGTAATTCAAGATGAAAGTATTTCACCAACTGGCTCGGGGATTGGTCGAGACAGCGATGCAGAGGAGGGAAATCAAATCCGAGAATCCCGATCTTCAGTAGCTCAGGATGAGACGACTCTGGCTACTGGCTCTGAGTCTCCTCAAAATACCAATTCAGAATGGGGAAACGAATTTCTGAACTGGCAATTCCTGTTACACCAAGATGAGAGTACTTCAGCCACTCGACCTGACTCTTTGGAATAACAATTAGATGGATGGGCCAAATTTGAATAATAGCGAGCGACTTTAAATGTGTTCCAGCCTTAGTCAGAATACAACACAGCGCGTTTCATGATTCATTGATTCTGCGATTGTGAGTTGTTGCTTCGTGTGGTAAGGTAGCGTATCCGTTTAATCCGTGACTTGGTGTACATGTATCTCATGAAGTGACTATGAAATGATGGTAAGAAGATTTATGTATTTCTTGACAGATATCTAGGTGATGTTTTGTGAAATAGGATTCAGTCTCATAAGATTATGTGCAAGTAATCAGCTAACGAAATCTTGGTGAGCATAAATTAAAGTCGACTTCATGGATATTGCTCACCGAATGTACTGTTCCGGGGACACTTGGAGGGGAAATCATCCCTTTTCCCTTACCATGTTTTAAGAGAAATCATATCTGCACAGGAAACGCGTGACCTCACCCATTTGCTGGCTTTTATTTTCTCGAGCATGTGTTGAATTTGATCATTGCTTTAGTGAAATACTTAGATAAAATTGGGGTCTGTAGTGTATTTAGTTACCAAATCTCGGCTAGAATTTCACAGAATGATTGGAACTTGGGGGATCGACAATTTCATAAAAGAATTGATACCTGGTATTTGGAGACTTGGAGGCGCTAGTGTATGGATTACCTGCGGCACCCTTCCTCGATGATATGAATATCTTAAAAGATATAATTTTCATGTTGATAAAAGCATCTGATTTCAAGAATTATGCGACTGTCGAATCCGAATCAGGACGCGACGATGTCATTGCGAACAGAAGTTTTTTGTGATTCTACAGTATCAAATGGTATTCATTTTCATCTTGGATTTTTCACTAAAACCTCGAGATCTATGTGAGATCTTCCTGGTGGTGTGTTAGTTTCAATTATAGTTTGTGAATTAGTCTTTTCATGACGATGCTGGGAAAAGAGCAGTCGACATAGTTTATCCTTATATAATCATCAACCTCACATGTATCTCTCAAGGACACGTAAAATTTCCACAGACCGAGAAATCAACCTTCAACCATGATGGAAGTCAAGGATGGTGATCAGATAGCACACATAAATGCGCTTCGCAGGGAATTTTTGCATTATTTTAAGGAAGTAAGTATATTGTATTTCCGCACACTGATACTTAACTAAAACGGTCTAATAGGATCGCACCATTCGTCCACCAGGAACCGAGAATGCCGAAGAAATCAGAATGAAACTACCTCTCGTGCGCTATTACGGAGATCTCCCAGAAATAGACGACCCTTGGTTTCCCTTTCTATTCGCGGCTTCCCATGGAAGAATCGTCCATAAGCCACCACATGCTCTTGAACGTCTCGGACCACTCATACGCAGAACACAGTATTTGGTTCGAGTAGAGGTTCAATACAGGGTCATATTTCTAGTCGAGTCCATTGACGATGATGGCCGTCTCATTTTTGTAGAGATTGATCGACATCTTTTAACTCATCCATTTGAACCCCCAGTGTTGCCGGAATGGCTTCAGGGTATGTTTGTTCCTAATGTTGGGAAGGGGTTAGAGTGGGTGTGTATGGAATGGGGACATAAGTCACTTTTTAGGTGTAGCTCCTGGTCGAAGACAGGAACATCTTGGTGGTAATCATATTGGTCTGTTTGGAGAAAAGTAATCTGAGGAAAGGTCATTCAATCTTCAAGAGGTTGACCTGGGGAATGTCGGTAATTTGGTAAACGAATTGAAAGTGCAGAGGTGGTGCAGAGTCTAAAGGGATTATACTACTATGAGGCTCTAGGCATTGGAAAACATAATTTTAGATCTACTTGCAAGTCCCGAGGTCTCCTAGATCTGTCTTCTTTCCTTTAATTTCTATTCTACTCTTCAATCTTTCTCTTGCTTGACTTTCAGTTTATCAGTCTTTCCTATTTTCTGACTAACACATATCAAAACTCTCCGTCTTCTAAATAATGAATACTGAAGACACAGGGACAACAAAGAACTAAAATCGTTTCTGAAGTTGCAAAGATATGAGTGGTAGTCAAGTTTAGCCAACAATGGGTTTCTAGGAGCAGTTATATCCAATAAAGAAGGCACGAGGTACCTTCTGAGGCATTTATCTTGACGTAACAGAAGCTCCAATTCAGAAGGTATGACTAACACAAGGAAAGGACGAGATGGTCTATGACATATCAAGAGGTGCCTATTGTTGACCTCGGACCACCTTCATTATTTACTTGAATCTTTTTTACCCGAGCTTTGACTACCACTTCTTATATTCACCTTCTCATGATGAGTATTTCTTTGTTACGAGTTAACTCTTACGTATTATTACTGTCTTGCCCTGTCTGTTCCTCAGTTTCAAAGTACCAGTAAGGCTAGTACAATGACAATGGCACTTGGACGTTTTTTTGAAGTGCTTTCCATTCTACTGATTTTGCATGATCTGAGCTTCCAGAATATGAGTTTGATACCACCTTTTGCCCCCCAATGGGTGCTGAAAAACTAGCTAGTTTCTTTCTCTAGACTTGTGAATTCATAGTTTAGGTTCACAGGAAGCAACATCCGTCCTGGATAGTTCAAAACCACTGGAGATAGCCATATCAAGAACAAAGATGAAGCATATTGAATTACACTTCGAGGCCTAAGTGCAGAGCACGGCAACCCCCGAATCTTTTGTACCTTAAAATCGTGACGACATATAGAATATTCACTCTTGATGGCTATGCAGGGCCCTCTAGATACCTTGATAAAGCTTGATCTAAGCGATCGCCCACATATTGTACCTCCTTCAGCGACTTCGCTTCTTCTCCTTTCTCCTTACAACCACAATCATTACACCACAATCTTTAACAATAATTAGAACCACCAACACTATGGCACCCAGAGCTAAACCAATTAATTCCTCCTCAAAGAGTAAGGGACTCATTGAGAAAGAGGATATATTCCCCACCATCGTTCATTCAAACTCCGTCACCCCTCTCCAGGACTCTCTTCTCAATTCTCCTTTCAATTCCAACTTCGAAGACAATGGCGACCTTCAAGCTCAGCATAACCTGGAAGAATCAATTGATCCAGAGTTGACGCAAAACAACGCCGTCAATCCTTCTCTCGACCCAGATTTCAATCATGCATTTTCCTTTGAGGTTGATCCTTCATTGGGTCTGGATTCAAATTTCCCAGAGTCTGCGCCAGATTCATATTCAATTAATCCAACAAATCAATATGAGTCCAATGGCGAGTTTGCTGAGTATATCCCTGATCCAAACGATTGCAATTCATTCCATATTGATAACGTTGGAGCCCCTTCATCTTTCCGACTCGGCAATGCCAACGACCGTGTCGAAATTCAAAAGCCACCTACAAAGGTGCCATTTGTTGATCCTATGCATCCACACGCGCACCTGAAGCATGTTCCTGTATTTTGCTGCCAGTCGCCAACCTGTGTACGAGAGTGCAAGGTTGACTATAAGTATGCGACTCGCCAATTTACATTGTATTACTCTCGACAATCGATTGAGGAGCTCTTGTACAGTGGTCGCAAACGTGTTTTGCCGCAGACAGAGAATCCAGATCATCGCATTCCAATGCTTCTTCTTTCCGGAGCTCGCGTCTACAGGGCCGAGAAGTTGGGAGAGAATCCGGTCGTACGACTTTTTGTTGGTGATATCATCAATCGCAAAAAGAAGTATTGGGAGGTTTTGCCTGGAGGCGCAGTTGAACAGTTGGGATGGATTCATGAGTTAAGAGACACGGTAGCTCCTGCAGACAGATGTAGTGCTTGGAAGTGCACCACTCATGGAGATATTTGGAATGTTAGCATTCTAGACCATCTTTTCGACAATGGTGCCGAAAATACTAGTACACTAGGAACCGACTACGATAGTGGCTATGCGAGCTCTTCTAGTAGAATGGGAAATTCGTCAAGAAAGGGATCATCTACATATGGCGACAACAATACCGCTTTCAATACGAGTCCTGTCACTCCTGTCAAGTACGTCGGCGACAATAATTCGACTTTCAAGATGAGTCCCGTTACATCCACCAAGTACCCATTCGATGGTTACGATATGGGTTTTAACACAAGTCCAACTACACCAACCAACGACCCACCTGGTGATCATCGCGGTCCAAAAGCTCCTACTCACAGTCCCAAGCCTCGCCGCAACCGACACCGCAATCGCATCCACGGCGCCAACAAGATGAGTTCAAGCTCCAACAACAATTCCCTCGAACAAATCGAGGAAGATCTCGAGGAATTCGAGATCAGCGGCGACGTCGCCGAACTTCTTGAGTTCAATAGCTACGCCAGTACCAGTGGATGCGATTTCATGCAACCCCAAACTCACATGTGGGATGAGGATCTTCTCAGTGAGGTTAATACTTTCATCGCTGATGGAGTCCACTTTGGCGAATCTTTTGAGCATACTATTGGACACGACTTCAATGCTATTTGAATTGAACGAACTATTACTACGAGATGGATATGAGGATACCTAACTTATCATATGGCTGGACCATTACTGTAATTGACATAGATGCAAGACTGGATATCATCAGACGTTTATTTTGCGATTTTTTTCGACTCTTTCCTTTCCTTTGTTTTTCGTCGCGCGTTTGGCATCATGGGAATGAATGAATGGATTATGAATAGGAAACGGTTACCGGGTGCATTATTTTTCGATTTTCGATTTTCTTTCTTTTTTTTTTTTTCTTTTTTCTTCGATTTCTTTTTTTCTGCAGACAGACAATGAGTTCCATGATGATATTTCGTTCATGAGTTAATAGTTAATGGTACTTGGTACTTGGTCAACCATAAATGGATAATGGATAATGGTAATGACGAGAAGCAATGGGTAGTGGGTAGTGAATATCATTTTTCCAGTAATGAGTTACTGAGTAATTGGCGGGGGAAATCATGGCATAGCATGGCATAGCATGGAAAGAGGAGTTGAGATATGACATGAAGAGGTGTCGATTATGGAGTTGTATCTATCTTAAGAGCAGGGCTGGCCCTGGAATTAATGCGATGGTGTTATTATTTTGATTGAGGTGTTGTGTGTGTGTATGCTCGTGAAATTTTCCGTGTGAGATGTGGTGATTGTTGACTTGAATGTAGTTGACAGTTGGGGATGTGGTTTAGCTAGTAAGTGAGATTCTTGAATTGTAGAAGCATCTAAATCGGAGATATCATCTAAGAATTCTTCTTTCGTGCGTGTTGTTGTTGAAAAGAATGACACTACGACATTAGAAGACTGCAGTGTAAAATCTCAATCTATAATACCTACCCGCCAAATCGAGATAGAAGTCTAGACCTGAAAAGAATCCGAATATTCCTACTCAACTACCGCTGCAAACGTACATCTTCACAAGGCTGAGACATATATGGTAACTACTACTCAGTGGTGAGAACTTGAGGATATCACCGGATCAGCTTGATGTAAATGAATTCGGAAGTTGCGGTATTCTGCGGCGTACTCCTCACTAAGTTTAAGCGCATGTAAGACAAAAAAAAATGAAAAAGAAAATCCCAAAAAGTATCAGGAGGTCCATAGCATGTCACTCCTACCTCTCCCGCTCCTTATTTAACACTCAAAGATCTTGTGATTCTTACGGTCCTCTACATTAGTGATTAAAGAACGCTCTAGATCATCGATAAATTATTACAACTTACCAACTGATCATATTATAAGAAGTACGAGAGGCGTTGGATATGGATATGGAACTGGAACTGGGTTGAATTGGGTTAGATTTCAGTTTACTTATATACTTTATAGATGTGATTTTTGGATTGTGTTGGATTGTGTAGAGTGTGTGCTTCCCGCATGATGGGGATGAGAATGAGGAGAATTGTTGGATTTGGGATTTGAAGAAACTTGAGAAATCTTGGGGATTCGGGGAGAGTGGGATGGTGAGATGGTGGGACGAAGTGGCAGATGTGGGAGTGAGATTCTTGAATGTGTATTTGAATTCGAATTTGCAGCCAGAGATTGAAAAGGTATGGTGAGGTGAGTTGGATATATGAATTGATAAATATTCCTTGAATATCAAATTGAAGAAAACCAAATCCAAAACACATCTATAAACACATGTATATATACACACAACACAGCACAGCACAACACCCCAAACCTCAATCCCTCAATCCCAAAATCTAAAGTCCAGCCAGACACCTCCAAATCCCTCTGCAAAGAATCTCAAGACTCCTAGCCCATCTACGGAGTATTCTAAGCATTCCCCCCCCTTACTTCGTAGCTATAACTGTACATTCCTCGGCTCATCTGATTTGGGTTCTGATTTGGGTTCTGATTTGGGTTCTGATTTTGATTTTCCAAGTTTGAAGGAAAGAAAGGGAAACAGAAAAAAGGAGAAAAGGGAAAAGGGAAAAGGAAAAAAAGGTAAAGAGGGAAATGAAATGAAATGAAACACTTCTCGGTAACTACCTTCCACATTCCTGTTCTGGGGAATCAACAGTTCCATTGTGCATGGGTTGTGAAGCAAAATGGTTGATAGGGAGGAATGTACATATACCTCTGATCTCTTATTCCACCAAGAAGCGGATGGGGAGAGTTCTTCTATCTATATATATAACGAGATAGCCCCGCGACAATTTGGGGAAACTATATCATCAACCATACCCATCTTGAGAATCCAAATATATTTGTTAAAAAAAACATTAATAAGAATGCATTTCCTGATACAAACCCTCATCGCCGCAGCATTCCTCGCCGGCGCTGTATTTTCCGTTCCTCAGGGTATTCCTCCTAATGGGAGTGGTGGTGGTGATCAATCTAGCGTATGTTTTATTTCCTCTCTTCCTCTTTCTCTCCCCGTCCTCATTCTACTCTTCCCCCCATCCCATTCACCTAGACAAAACTAACCCACCAAAAAAAGTGCCACTGGAACTGCTGCGAATACGACCCCTCCACCCACGGCACCCTCTGCAGAAACAACACCGAGCCGTATCCATACGGAGTCGATTGTTATCCGGCGTTGTATGCGGCGAATATGACGTGTTGTCATCAGACGGATTGTCAGGATCAGACGTACTTTGATACGCCGATTGTGGTTATTTAGGGAGGGGCTTGAGGGGGGTTGTGGAATTGGGAGATTGTGGAAGGGGTTTTGGTTATTGGAGGGGTTTAAGGGGGAATAGTGGGTAGATGGTGGGTTTGGGTATGGAGTTGAGGGAAGAAGGGGGGGATTTCGGCTTTGAAAAAGGTGTTGACTTGGCAATTTCGTTGGGATCTTTGGATTATAGGGGAATTGGGCGGGTGATCTGTATTTGAGCGTGCGAAGTAATGCTTCTTGCTTCTAGGACTGAGCTATAAAGCTTTCGTTACAGATGTCGGTTTCCTAGTTAGCAATGGAAAAAACTTGTAGGGGTGTTAGTCTGTCAATCTTTGGGGCATTAAAATGATGAATCTGGTCAATGTGAAACATGAAATGTGAGACATGAGTTGAAGTGTGAGAGAAGCAATAAGCATTAAATGACTTAGCCCGGTTCCAAGGCTATCTTATCTGTGAAGGTAGATCCGCAACTAAGCTGCTTATCTTTTGATTGAATTATTCCAAGATAAATGGATGTTTCAATGCCTAAATAATAAGGGTTAGCGAATTGCTTTTACTTTCCTTCAGTAGTTAATTACCTCATCCGCAGTCATTCTGTTACCACTTTCATAAACAACCAGACTCGCGACCAAATCCCTTCCAGCTTCCTCAGCATTTGGTAATAATTCTTCCCATGGTTTACTCGGGAAGATATTCCACCATTGAAATGGATTTGTTTTCCACTTCATTGCTTCCGGCCATGTCTCTGCGGTTGGTGTTCCTAAGGTTTTGAACATACTCAAGATCAGACCCAGTTGATTCCCATCTTCATCACCGCGTCGGCTTTCGAGGAGTGGGTTAGGAGGCGAGCGGAGACATTCGGCGAGAAGAACACCCGTAGACCAGAGATCAAGAGACGTCGTGTAAGCTGTATTAGAAAAAAGAGTCTCGGGGCAGCGATAGCATGTAGTACCAACCTCAAGACATTTTTGATCAGAGGGCTCAGCAGATGAGGAGATGATTGGGTGCCATGCGGTGCCTAAATCAGTGATGACAACGGGAATTTGACCATTGATATCCTGAGGTAAAAGAATATTGGATGGTGATATATCACGGTGAATAATTTGTTCTGCATGAAGGTATGCGAGCCCGGATAATAATTGTTTGAAGATCATTTTAGTTGTGCGCGTGCTGAGACCATTGCTACTTTTAGATAGCAAGTCTGTCAATGTGTATGGCATATATGGCAATACCAGAACTAATCTTGATTCTTCATCATGGATTGTTTTGATGAGTGACATTATTGAAGGATGTGAAAGCTTTTTGAGGATAGCAATTTCACGAGCAGGAGAATGTGGCTCCATGTTATGAGTTTCTGTTATCACTTTTAAAGCATAGGAAGTCTCTTCAGTATCGCACCTATAAACTTGAGAGACAGCACCACTGGATATATGGTGACAATCTTTATAAGATCCTATGGTGATACCGGGGCCTTTGGGTGATGGAGATGTTGTGGATAAAAAGGCTTCATCATTTGGCTGGGTAGGATTACATAAATCATCATAGGCGGCCTATGCATTGTGTCAGTAAGATAGTTACGACAAGTTGAACGTTCACTTAACTCAACACTAAACGTCTTTTCTCCTGCAGAACTACAAAGAACAGCAAATGGAGGCAGAGAAGTATCGTGAGAAAAGGGGAAAGGCGTATTGCTCACGTGACACAGAATACTTATATTTGAAACTTTAACTCACTCTTGATGACGAAGAATCATAAGCCTCTGCTTCGATTTCAAATGCAGTTTTTTGCGTATTCCCGCCAAGACCACCGACTGAGAGGTACTTCTTTCTATTATTAGGAAGATTAGCCATGTCAATTTACGAGTTGAAGGAGAGTGGTGCCACTTTACAGCTTGGAGATATTATCGTATCGTTCGGAAGCTTTCAAATCATGTTTCCAATCTGGTGCAGAGCTCATATTGTTGAGTTGAAAGAGTGTAAACAATGATACACTAGATATAGATAGTGTTCTCTTGTAGACTGTGTTGCTCTGCAGAGATGCTTTATCCGAGGTGATCAGTTCGTATAAGATAGGAGATGATCTCTAGTGTTTTCGGATAAAGTTCGGTTATGTCTTATTGGAAATATAAGAAGTCTTGTCTCTGATTGAGCATGTAATGTAAATAGAGCAGATGTAGTGGATATGTGAATACGTGAATATTATTAGATGATTGACAATATGGATACCATGTAAAGCATCCGGAATGTCCAGACTATTCCCCTTTGGTCTTTCTCAAGTATGGATCTGGTGAACTAACCGGTTCTTATATGCTTGACTTGTTATTTCAGACTGGTTTTATCTGCTCGACTTGCTTTACCTTTACCTCCTTCATTGATATAAGGTTTCATCATTTCTCACAAGAAGAATCGGTGACACATCACGTGCTTCTTCAATTGCACCTACCCAGGAGAGCATACTCTGTACTGCAAGTAATGTATGTGCATTGCTCATTTTGTTTTTGCATGATTCTCCAACAAGGATTATGTATGGATGGAAGCAACCGAAAAAGCTTCGACCAATCAATTCCAGAAAGAGAAAGAGCCGCTTTCACTCCTTCGAGCTTGGAATCGTGGAGAACTTCTAATTCCGAGAGAGAGCGCATGATATTTATCCAATATCATATTATACTGTCTCGTACCTTGCTGTCTCGTACCTTTTATAGGAAAGAGTACTGACTTAACATACAAACTTATATTTACAAGAAATAATTCTCCATTCATTCCTTTTTACAACAAGTACAAGGACAACTGCAACTACTTTTACCTACAAAGAAGAAGAACATGAACAATCATTAGTCACCACTAGATGATCAACTCATTGGAAGTTAGGATTACAGCAAATCACAAACATGGATGCAGTAGACCGACAAGAGTATCCGGCTATGCTGGTGAGTTGTTCCTTTTCCCACAGAATCACAGCACACCGAGTATTGATTCTTCACTTCTAGGATCGATTACAACCAGGGCCAGCTGCAGTAAAACTTAATGAGCGTGTGAAGAGGATAAATAAAGTGAATACGGAAATCGCGGATTGGTTGCAGGTATATATATGATCGGACGGCTGCGATGGCATATTATTTACACATTTAATAGGAGCGCCGCAAAGTAGAAGAACAATATGCTTCTGGTCTCCGAAAGCTTGCGCGCAAACCTTTACAAGAAACTGGGGGAGATTTGGGGTATGGCATGTTGGGACATTTGGTTTCGACATTAGCTAACCGGAACCTAGGGTATTCGATACACCATGGAGGAAAATTGTGAATTCGGTCGAATCGATCGCGGATTCTCATCACAATTTAGCTGAGCGAATCTCCAAAGATGTTGAACAACCATTGCGACAATTCGCTACCCAAAACCGAGAAATGCAGGGAATGACAACAATACAAGGAAATCTCGGGGCGATGGCTAAGGAGTTGGAAGATGCGCAACATGCCTCGGACAAGCTCAGTAAGAAGGGGGGGAAAGTAAGTACGCAGAAGGTGGAGAATGCAGCTGCCAAATTACAGAATGCGGAACAACAATGGCAAGCACAAGCTCCATTCATATATGAGAGTCTTCAGGCAGTAGATGAAAGGCGACTGAACCACCTCCGCGATGTCCTCACGCAATTCGAAACCCATGAAGCCGATAGAATTGAGAGAAGTCGAGTGGCCGTTGAGCAAACCTTAACAGCATTGTTGGAGGTAGATACTGCCCAGGAAATTAGGAATTGGTCTGAATCATCTACCGCGGTAAGGCCCGTCATGGAGCGGCCCGCCAGACAATTTTCGAGCGCTGGAGAAAGTGGCGCAATGCCATTACCTCCACCCACTCCACGGTCTACACATTCAGCAGCTGCTAGTGATATATCAAGACAAGAAGGTTCTAGTGGTAAGCTAAAGTTCTTGAATTCTTGTTGTTCCTACAGAGAATACTGCTCTACATGACTATGTGATTTATGCTGACTTATGAAATCTAGAGTCGAAGCTAAAGAGCCGATTTGGTACGATGCTTCAACGTCGACGCCAAAGCGTTCATGGAGGATTTGCTCGCGCCCCATCACCGAACAAGGGATTCGCGAGTTTGAATCGCAATTCCAACAGCAGCTCAGGACGACCAACCCTTTCACCCCATACTTCTTCAACCAATTTGCGAGAATCTTCACAAGACAACCGACTTTTTGCTCTTCCCGAATCACCATCTAATCGCGATACTTTACAGCCTAATGGCAACTCTCATGGCATGGGCCAAGATTCATTAAGCGCATCCGATGCGATTAGACCAGCTACTTCCAATGGTGTACCAAGTCCGGGAATGATGGATCTGTCGGAAGTTGAACCACCATCGGGTCCACCTCCATCGCATTTCAAAGAAGCCCAAAAGGATTCTGAAGGCTTCACGGTGCCAGCAGCCATGAACGATCCTATATCGCAAGCTCTTAATGAAGCTCATGAGCAAAATGAACCTCAGTTTAAGCTAGACATCCGAGATCAACCAATTCCCGAGCAAGATGCAGATGCACAAGCTGCATTATCAAGTGTTGCCAATACTTTGCGTTCATCCCAACTAACTACTCCTGGTCGAAAAGTTGGTACTGTCCGAGGTCGAAGAGATGTTCGAAACACAGTCTATGTACCTTCACCTAATCTTGATGTAAGCAGCATAGAGAACAACTTGCCTCCTTCGCCAGCTTTCTCGCCCGGAGGGGCACGTGCGGCAGCATTTGCAGCTATTTCGGAGCATGGCCATGCTGCGCCAAGTGTATCTGATGCAAATTCGATTCGTTCCGGGCATTCTCTTTCCAATAATGTTGTGGTCAAACATGCTGATATGCATCACCCTGGCCTCAACGCGTCAATGATAGAGACTGTCAGCGCCACATTAGAAAACGGGGCAGTTAAGACAGTTAAGGTCAGTGGGGAGATTGCTTTAAGCTACATTTCATCGCCGAATGATGTTTCGCTACCAGCTTCAGGTAAGTCAGCCTCAATACATTCAGCTGCAAAGTCTAACGTGCATAGGAACCGAAACAATCAGAATCAACAACTTCCCCGCTCTAGAGGCTATCGGTCCTAATAGAACATTCATTCATCCAGTATCCGCAGAGAAATCGGATGAATTTACAGTGGACCTTGCGTCGGTATCGCACAAAACATCGCCTGCATTTACTTACCGAGTGCATATTGATGATAAGGATATGGCTGGTTATTCGCCATTATTGTTAAAACCGGCGTGGAAACCAGTCGGTGATAAGCTTGGTCTGATTATCGAGTATGCTCTCAATCCAGCTTTCTCCTCGGATGCCATAACTTTCAACAACCTTGTTATCGTAGGTAAATACACAGGTGCTGGAGCTGCCGTGTGTAAATCCAAACCTTCTGGTACCCACTACCGTGACAAGTCTGCTATTGTTTGGCGTCTTGGCGATGTCACTCTCGGTCATGAATGGCATAAAATGAGTGCCTTATTTTCCGGTTCAGATGGCGCGGTTCAGCAACCAGGTCATGCAGAAGCCAGATGGGAAGTTCAACGTCCAATTTCCGGTAGTGGCATCAGCATTTCAAGACTGGAAGCAGCTAAAGGCGCTGAGGAGTCGGATCCATTTGCAGATGAATCATTAGCTCCCACGGCAGGTAATTGGGTTGAAATTGAGACTAGTAGGAAGATTGCCAATGGAGTGTACGAAGCAAGACAAAACACAGCATGAAAAATGGGATAGGATTGGGTTGTTGAGAATTGAAGGTTAAGGGCTCAGGAATGAAAGGAGTTTCTTTCCAGGAGTTTTGTTCTTCTATTTTTGCATGCTCTCTGAGAGTATTTGAAAAGTACATAGGTGCACACAGGAGGGTTCAAAGTATAGTGGAAGTGTAATGGTTGGAGCATGGTGGAAGCGTTTCTTTGAGTTGATACCTAGCGTTTCACGCTGTTCTTTTTCTTTTCTTCTTAGTCTTGTAGTGTAGTATATGTATGTATGTATATACTCAATAACCAGCTCGTTTGAGATTCTGACGTAAGGTTTTTTTTGTCTATGTTTTTTGATGATTGAGGAGTGATTATGGAGTGACTGGTTGATGATGGATGGATGGATGGATGGATGCTATTTACATGTTATATCACAGTCGTCTTTCTTCATGATATATATTACAATTTCTTCTTTTAAAATGGGAGGGTGGGGATGTTGGGAAGAGAATACTATCAAGCTTTATTTAAGTTTAGTTTAGGGAGGGATGTTTTCAGCTTCAGCTTTGCATTTGAGAAAACAGTGAGGATTGATATGATGGGATAGGATATGACATGATAGGTTCGTGGTTTATGGATAATAAGCTTTCTGGTGAGTTGATTGGTGGGATGGGGATGGGGATGGGGATGGAGGATTGGAATGTGGGATGGGGATCTGGAATTGGGGGTTAGTGATTTGGTTGCTGTGTGTTTTGTGTGAGGGTGAGTGTGAGGGGGAGGTTGAGGGTGATAATCCTTGTTCTGCTGAGTATGTATTGAAGGTTTGAGATGGAAGGTTTAAGATTGGGGAGTTGGAGATGCTGGGGGTTGTGTGAGCGTGTGCGTATATGTGTGTGTCTGTATATGTATATATGTATATCAGGTGGAGTGGGATGGGGTTTGACTTTGTTTTAGATTATGGGATTGTGATATGGTGGTATCGGGGTGGGATGGTGGACTTTGTGATATAGTGGCATAGTAGTATTGTGATATTGTAGTATGGTGAGATGGTGATATTAAGGCGAAATGAATTTGGGTGAGGGGTGAGAGGTGAGGGATAATCTGTTCGAGGGGTAGACGGGCTGAGATAGATCTCGAGGTAGGATGAGAAAGTAGGATGGAACAAGCCTAGAGGTACAACAAGTTAGATTAGGAAAGAAGAGGAGTAGAAAGAGGGGTACTCGGATGGTATGAGATGGGAGGGGATAGGCTGCGATCCTTCTCAGGTAGGACTGTGAGTCTTCTGATGGAAGGGAGGGAGGTTGTGTTTATGATTGTAATTGTGAATATATTTGATTATGGCTATGTTAATAATGAATACTAAATAGATAGACATGAATCAGGAGTTGTTTTACTAATACCAATACAAAACTTCGCAATGAGAGGTTAATCAGGCGATCCTGTTACTTGTGATACTGGAACTTCTCGGAGAGTTGTGTGGTGAGACGGTATCTGTATACATGTATGTAACATTTGACAACAAATTTCGATGGACGTAGAAACTACGTCACTGCCCCTCGTTGCTCCTTCTAAAGTTGTGAGTTGGATTTTAAATTATATTACCCCGCTCTGGATTTATTTTAGAGATTCCGATAAATGATCGATTTTACTCTGGGTAACATCTTCCTATCTACAACCTCTCGCGACCTCTTCCAACTTCTAACAACCTTCTACAACTTCTTACAAGATCAACAACTCCTCGCCCATCTCCATCTACACAATCCCAACCCTTCAAGTTTCAATCCCATTACCAAATCAACTCGTATACAAGCAAACAATTATGTCCGACCACGGAAACGAAGAGCAATCCGACAGTTACGGCGGAAAATCTGATACCTACGGTGAGAAACAGGAGAGTGGTATGATTTTTTATTATCTATTTCTTGAGCTTCACTTTCACGTACTGATTTGTGATAGGTTATGGAGGTAGAGATGATGGTACTCAGTCTCGTGGTATGTATCTTCTTTACTCTCTCGCTTTTTCTTCTTCACTTTCTGTTTGATAAAACTTTGGAGTTGTAGCAGGGTACCTGCCATAATGCAAAGCTAATTTGGAAAACGCAGGATATGGCAGTACAGGAAGAGATAACACGAGCAGTGGTCTAGGTGGTGATGATAATGGTAATGATAATGAGTCGGGTGATGCTTATGGCAACACTAGAGAGACTGGCTATGGTAGTACCAGGAAGGATGACACGAGCAGTGGCTTTGGTCAGGATAATACAGTATCTGGTGATAGCTATGGTAGTACTTGGAAGGATAAGACGAGTGGTGGCTTGAATGGAGATGGTGTCTCGTCTGGCGATGCTTATGGTAGTACCAGAAAAGATGATACGACAAGTGGGTATGGTCAAGACAATATCTCATCTGGAGATGCGTATGGCAGCACCGGAAGAAACGTTGCAAGAAGTGGCTTGGGTGACGACATCTCATCAGAGGATACATACGGTAGCACTGGAAGAGACAATACATCATCTGATGATCAACATGGCAGTTCCGGAAACGACAATACAAGAAGCGGCTTAGGTGACGACAACGTCTCATCCGGAGATACGTATGGTAGCACTGAGAGAGACAATACGACATCGGATGATACATACAGCAGCACCCAAAAAGATGATACAAGCAGCAGCTACAACGATGATGTCACTTCCTCAGATGATACATTTGGCTCTACCACGGGCGCCAGAAGTGAGTCACATAATAACGACAAGATTGGTGGATTTGGAGGAGTCGCTAGCTCTTCTGGTTATGGTGATGATGTTACTGGTGATCGTGATGTCTCAGGTGGATATGGTGGAGACAAGAGTGATTCTCAAGGTTTGGGTGAAAATGATGATAATACCATTTCTGGAGGCTATGGTGGTGGTAACAGTCAAACTTCTAGTGGTTATAAGGCCAACAAGTCTGGTTGTGGAGAGGAAGACTATGGTGACAACGACCAGACAAGCTCCGGTGGATATGGTGATAATGACCAGGGTATGTCTGGATTAAAGAAAGGCTTGGAAAAGGCCAAAGAATTGTTCTATAAGAACTGAAGTAATTGCGATGCTTAGGGGATGCAATGGTCGTTGAGTATGAAATTATCTTTTTAGCTTTTGCGAGGTTACGCTGGGAATTCGTTCACTCACACACAGTCTTTCTGAGAAGCGATGATATTTATTCTGCTCAATTATTTGAGATATCAGTACATGAAGGCATGAAGATATTTGGGGTGCGATGACTTTCTTGATTTGTTCAAATCACATGGGGACTTCAAAGTGGCCGGGAGACTGGGAGACTGGGATGCGGAGATATTCGGAATGCGTTGAATTTCAGTCGATGATATTTCCCAAGGGCAATAGTTACTTAATGAACTATACTTTCGCCAGATGCTTCTCAACTTCATCTGTAACATTGGTTAATATCTGATTGTTAAAAACTGCCTTGCGTTTATAAACCTCTAGTCTTCGGCCCCAAACTTGGAGAAAAATAACTTTGACGCCCTTCATTGGGGAGACTAGTCAGTTCTCTCTAAAAGTTCGAATGCTAGAACCTATTGAGTGGATGACATTGGGACTTTCTAGCTGATCCCAGTTTTAAAGGATGAAATGTAACAAAATATGTATCTTCGGTCAAAGTATATTATGTTGCAAGCATGAGAAGGACTCGTGCTTATTACTGAATTCTCATTTCACGAAACAACTCTTCCCCGATAGATAGCTTCTTAACAACCCGATGCTCTAGAGAACATAGACGCTATAGTAAGGCAGGGAAAACGACTTCGGAATTCCTTCGGGGACAGCGAATGAGGAAGAGAAACGTGTGTATTTGATACTTCATTTCAATGGAGATACTTTTTGTGATGATTTGGTACGAAGTTTTGACAGGTATATACATAGACGAGAAAGTGTTTGGTAGTCGGGAGAACAATACATGGTATCGTTTCCTTCAGAACACAAGTGAAGGCTTGGGTTTGAGGATCACAAAAATGACGGGTTAATGCTGGTTGGATATGAGAAGATGGTGTATATATGAATGCAACATCACTGACATGCTGTATTATATGAACTACCCTTTATAGTCTGGTACTAACTATACCATCCGCTTTGTGAGTTCTTCCTCATCTTATAACATTATAATTTGGAGGTAAAAAGAGAACATGGCCGTTGGTAGAGACATTCTTAATATCATTATCATAGGCAAACCACAGCCGAGTTCTTGGGCTAACTTGAAGCAGAGCCTTGAGAATGTCCATGCGCTTAATTAGGAACTTAAGAAAGTAGATCTAGGAATGGAATAGAACTAGCTGATCTACTCTGTGATAAAGATCTGAAATGAAGAGGCAAGCACGCGTATATAACCTCCTACTCGTAGAATCAGTGATCTTCTTGATACAATCTCCAGATGAGGGAGCGGCCATGTACCTGGGACATGATAGATTAGACAATTAAGATTGTGTACTCCATCTTTGAGTAAGGTATCTAGAATCTAAATAGGTGAACATTTATGGTAGACAAAATAAAGTTTTTGGTGTTTTCTGTGATAGGTTGACTGCTAAGCTATGTCACAACGTTCAAGAAAGGTTTTTGAAGTGGTTGACGATCTACACCGCCTTTATTCTAAATGGCAGAATATATTCAATAAACATATCAACGAATCCAACCTTTTCTCCCCACGACAATAAACAATTCGTGAAGCTTCATATAACACAACGCGTCAATTACCACTGCTGATAAACTTCTGCTCAAGCTCATTACATCGAAACATATTTGGCATTGCAAAATTTCTGCATTGCAATATCCAAAAGGATCTGTCGACGCGACGCGTGTTGCTACAATGGCTGTTCACGATGTTGCCCCGGGCTACATTACTTTCGAAAGTCGAGTGGCATCTTACCGTAATGCACAACCCCTTACTGGTCGTAGGACGTCTACTACCGGGTCAAAGGCTCCAAAAAGTCTTAAATGGCCACACAAATCTTTGCTACCAGAAGAAGTATGAAGTATTCTATCTTTGTTTACTTATCGCTCGCTGACCTTGCGCAAAGCTTGCAAAAGCAGGTTTCTTTTACTATCCTTCGCAAGCCAATCCTGACAATTGCGCTTGTTTTCTCTGCCATAGATCTATTGATGCCTGGGAGGAAGGTGATGATCCATTGAAAGAACATTTAAAGCATTCACCAAATTGTGGATGGGCGATTGTTGCCTCGATCGAGGCACAAGATGAAGAATTGAGCCGGGAATTTCCTGCTAGTATGAGAATGGTCGAGGCTAGAACTGCGACATTTGCAGGAAGATGGCCGCACGAAGCAAAGAGGGGTTGGAAGTGCAAGACTAAACAAGTATGGACTGCCTGTTACTCATGACAACATTTATACTGACGAGGTAACAGTTGGTTAACGCTGGGTGGAAATATACTCCAACTGCAGAATCAAATGATATGGCTACTTGTACTTATTGTTCTTTAGCATTAGATGGATGGGAGCCATCCGACAAACCATTGTATGTTTGGGAATCTCTCCAATGACTACAGAAGCTAACTTCTCTCACAGAGATGAACATTTCAATCGATCACCCGAATGCCCTTTTTTCATACTTATCGACGAGCATAACTCAGAACTTGCCTTAAAAAAATCGACTACCAAGAGAGGCAGAACATCGAAAGCTTCACGTTTATCTACACTATCCGCTGTAAATATTGCTAGCGATGCAGATGTTGAAGAGGGGGATAGCATCATGTCTACAGCCACGACAAAAGGCAAAGCATCTGGACCTAAGGGTCGAAAGGCACCGGCTAAAAAGGCAGCTCCAGCTCGGTTATCTACACAACCCGCTATTGATGTAGCTAGTGATGCAGATGTAGCTAGTGATGCAGGGGTTGTTAGCGATGCAGATGGTGCTGAGGGGGATAGCATCATGTCTACAGCCACAACAAAAGGCAAAGCATCTGGGCCCAAAGGTCGAAAAGGCTCGGCCAAAAAGGCCGCCCCAGCTCAATCATCTACACAGCCAGCTATTGACGTTGTCAGCAATGTAGCTGCCGAAGAGGGAGACAGTATCATGTCTACAGCAACTACGAAAGCGAAGACATCTGCACCCAAAGGTCGAAAGGCCCCGGCCAAAAAGGCCGCCTTAGCTCAAGCATCTACAAAGCCCGCCATTGACGTTGCTAGTGATACAGATGATGCAAATGATGCAGAGGGAAACAGTATCATGTCTACAGCCGCAACAAAAGTGAAGACATCTGCACTCAAAGGTCGCAAGGCTACGGCTAAGAAGGTCGAACCAATTGAGGCACCTAAAGCCCCAGTAGAATCTTCTACTCGTGGGAGAAAGAGGAAGAGTGACGACGAGATGTCTCAACCTGACCTTCCAAATCCCCAACCTAAGAAACGTACTACAAGGGCTAGCACAGCACAAGTTGTTATTCCTCAAGCATCCGCTGCACCACTACGAGCACCAACCTTTACAGACTTACAGAACCAGGCAGAAGCTTCGGATTTGCTTTGGATGGAAGGATCTCCACTAGAATCTCCACCTGGATCTCCTCCCCCCTTGTCGCCACCCCATTCTTCAGTCGCGGACAACCAATTTTCAGACACAGAACATCAATCTTCCGATGCGGAAAACCAGTTCCCTGAAAGACCTAACACTCCTCCAAATCAAGGTTCTTTGGCACCCAAAACTACCAAGCAATGGGAACCCGTAGATGCTGAGATGTTCTTCGGTGAAGAAGAGCATGAGCATTTCTTGGAAGCAATGTCGAATCTCAAAACAGGCAATTTAACAAAAGCGGAGAGCCAAATGTCTGTGGAGCAATGGATTTACCATACAGCAACGGTTGCTCAAGGAAAGCTTCTTGACGAATGTGAGCGAATGGTAGCAGCATTCGAGGCCGAGGGCATGAAGGCGTTGTCTTGTCTGGAAGCAATGGAAGTCGTCTGAACTTGAGTTAAACAGTGTATTAATTTGGCTGGAATATGTTCAAATCGGACTTGGATAAGTCTCATTGGGAAAATCAAGGGCATTGGCGTTTGAGCGGCTTTGTTTTACTCTTTCATAAATCAAATATTATATACCCCGTATCGAGACTATGAAATGACTTAATTCCAAACATGTACTGAATTTGTGCCTATACCTAACGAGATATGTGACGCGAACATCCAAATAAAAGAACACTTTATTTACAGATTATTAGTACCTTAGTTTCGTTGAATTTAGTCGCTTGAACAATATGTACAATTTTGGGTATATTACTATTTTATTAACTCTATTTACTTTTTTGAAATCTCGTTGCTCATCTCAGTTTTTATACGAGTTATTGTGCCGACACCTCCATAGACCCTATTGGATAGATTAGTATACATTGTGAGATATTTGCCCTCTTGTTTTATTTCATATGGGGGTGATAGTTGAAATGGGGTGGGAGACTTACAATGCTGTGTAGACTTGGGCGACATTCGCACCTGCATTCAAAACTTCTAGTGCTTGTTTTCCATTCGTAATGCCACCAGTAGCGAAAATTACTTTCTGATCATTTGCTTTGTTGCCCGTGAGTGATTTTGCCTTTTCGGCGATAGTGGAGACAAGACCATCCTCGTTTGATCCATTAGTGGTATCTTGTTGTGGTGGTCCTCGGTCGAGTAGAGCTCTATATCTCTTGACTAAAGATAATGTTCTCTCGAACATTGGTGGTCCAGAAAATCCTCCTTGTTCCTCAAGAACCCTGATTTCTCTGGCGGAAATTCTGATGTCGTCTGGGATGAGCTTGTCTCTTCGATTTGTGGTATTACCCACAATTATACCGTCAACACCACTTCTCCATACGGCTTCAACGATGCCCTCGATTTGCTCGTCTTGATCTTCATCGGGTGATACCTTGACCATGACTCTAGGCTTTGTTTTTCGATCTACGGATTTGGCGGCCCCGACTACTCCTTCTAAGATTCGGGATAATGGTTCAACTTTCTGTAATGTCCTCAAACCAGGGGTGTTTGGGCTGCTAACATTGACTACCAAAATATCGGCATATCGAGCCAATCTCTCAACACAGTGAACGTAGTCTCTTTTGACGGCCTCAATGTCATCACCATTAGTATTCTTATTCTTGGCAACTTGTACCGCCAATAATTTCCCGTCCAACAAACTTCCTGGAGGAACACCAGCTTCTCCATTCAAAACCATCTTCTCAGCATCTTCACCTACACCCAATCCATTTTGATATGCATATAAACGAACCCGTTCCCTCAATCGCATAGCCATATCATCTGCGCCCTTTGAATTAAGTCCATAGCGGTTGATCAAAGCTTTCTGACTCGGTATACGGAAAACTCTAGGTTTTGGGTTTCCATCCTGAGCAAGTGGTGTGCATCCGCCAACCTCGACAATCGCAGGGCCCATAGCAAACAAAGCATCTGGCACCTCTGCCAATTTGTCAAGCCCCGCAGATGTCCCAATTGGATTTTGTAATTTCTGTCCCCAGACCTCCACGCTCAAATCTGTCTTATCCGTATTACCGTTTCTGAAGCTTCGATCGCGAGGATGGAGTCCGAATGAGTAGAGCGTTTTGAGAGCTTTGGTTCCGACATGATGAGCCTCTTCGGCATCGGGATATATGGCGCGCAATGCGGGAACCACAAGCCATTGGTGAACGCTGGCTCGGGTGTCGGTAATATATAGGTATCCAAAGCCGAGACCGAGAGCTATCGAGGTTCCTACGAGGAGATTCTTCGATCGGGTAAGAACTGGGGATGTTTCGGTACTGGTTGATACGAAGCGTTTGGTGGATACACGGGATGCAGGTGAGGAGAGAATGGGTCGCGATGTACGCAGAGTGCGTAGGAGAGGGCTCGACATATCGAATGTCTGTCCGGGTATGAAGCAAATGGAGGGTCGGAGTGCTTGCTAACGGGGATGTCTAAAAATGTTGTTCTATGCGTAATAATTAATCTGGCTCCGGGGGGTTGTTATTCCGTTCCGGGCGAAGCTATCAACTTCATTTCAACCCCACGATCTTACCCCGAGCATATCAACACATCGGTCATGTTTTGGTGAATTTAGCAGAAGGTCTTTCTGTATAAATATTTCACGGTTTCAAGATCTTACCATTGATAAAGGGCTAGTAGATTCGTACTGCGACCAATCGTCTGCTGAATACTGATTGTAACGAAATCGCCTGGGAAGTGACATTCGATATCAATTCCAAACCTCACCATTCTACACTCACTCATTCTTTCTTCGACAATAAGAATTGTCATCATTATCATGTGATTCTCTTGCTCGGTCCTTGGCTCAGTCTCTTGGACGACAAGACCTCCAAATGAGATAGAGAGAGCAAGATCTAGCATAGACTCTATCTTGCTATTTCCTGATCAAAACTTCCAACCCTTCCTTCTATTAGACGCTGGTTTGCTTTCATCAAACTGACTGCAAGTTTGGAGAGAAAGGGAAGTGATGTATCCTGGAAAGTTTGAGACCCTACTCTTTTGGCTGAGATCTCTTAGATGAGTGACATGAAAATAAAATGGGAGAAGTCTCTTTTTATTCACTTCTCCGTTTTCCTCTTTGCCCATTTCTCTTGATTTACTCTGTATGCTTTTTAATTCATACCAAGGCCCTGCTCTCCTAGAAATTTGGGATTTACTCGAGCACTTTCCTTTTCTTTAACATATGTTTCTACGTTTATAATCCATGGCTTACACAAGCTATTCGACTCTGAGCTTTTGTTACTCTTTCACTCATTTTGATTCAATCGAATCTATTGAAAGTCAAAATGACAATACCAACCCGTTTTACATGGTTTCAATGCACCATGTGACCCTAAAGTCAAGTTGCTGTTGTTTTTTGTCCCGCCAAGTATGTATGTCCAATATTACCCTCCACACTATTCATCTAGCTGCGTAAAACAAATCAAAACTCAACTCAACAAAATTCAATATTCAATATTCACCAATACAATCGCCGAAGTTCATTGAAACTGCCCCACTCATATTCACTGCTGCCCGTATTACGACCATTCTTAAGGAGGGGGCTTTGCTACAAGAAATCCTTTACTTGTTTTCTTTCAACATACAATTCTTCTGGAATTTAATTCTGTGTACAAGACCAACTTTTCTTTTCATCATCTTTTATCTCAAACCATTCAAGGCATCAACTCAAGTCTTGTTAGTTCTCTGGCATCACAATAGAGAGCCCACCTGAGGGAGAAGTAAAGAAGGATCAAATCAGAACGATGGACAAAGATCCGACAATCACGGTTGATATGAACCCAGATGTGAAAGTGTTGTTGTCAAAGATACACGCACTTACAACAACTCGATACAAAAATTTCGAAAAGCTTAGAGAACTTGATGTTTTGAGGGAGGAAGCTCATGTTAAATATCGTATTTTGATTGTGAGTATGAATGTTGGCCTGCTTTAAGAATATTATTTCTAAATTCATGTCTCTTGTAGGAAGATAACATGGCCAATTTCAAAAAGGAATTCCCAAATGCTTCAAGAGCTTTGTGGGCTGAATTTCAGAAGGTGGCTTTTGAAAATACCATTCTTGACGACTTGAACGCTGCGCGCAAGAAACAAGAGATCGTTTACACGGCCTCCCGTGATAAGCTAGAAGAGATGTACAAGACCTTCAACAACGTTTGTCCATTACTTTCACAATCCCACTAGTACAGCAGCTGACATTTATAGCTCTTCCCGCAATACATTCCTCAAGACATTCAAAATCGTAAGATCGTCAGTTTCCCTGGTACTGATTCCGAGAGGGTAGTAGCATTCTTCCGAACTTGTTCGCCTGAGGATGTTGCCAGGGAAATATTTACACACAAGGCATTGCCGGGCTTCAAAATCTATAGCTGCGAGAAGAGCTTCAATAGAGACGACCTTCCGCCATCTTACAGAGCGAAGTTCGAGCGTGCACGACAATTCCCTGATGACCCGGATCACCTCATCTCATATGATACCCCAGGAGTCACTGAGAAAATGCGAAAACCACAACGAAGAAAAGCAAAGGACATTTTTACTACTACCTTGGAGACTGTCTGGGTTTACAATTCAGATGTCAAGAAGTATGAGCGGCATATTCATCAGCAGGTTTTCCACAAATACTCAAAGGACGAGGTCAATGGCTTAAGAAGGAGATTGATGATCTATGTGGAGATTTCAATTGTTGATGTTGAATAATTGAGTACATCTAATTCAGACGAAGGAAGGCTCAGGGAGGACAACGTTTCATTCTATTTTCCGACATTTCAGTACAGTACAGATAATGACACCATACAAAGTTAAACGAATACGCAGTACTAGAGGCAGAATTTCTGACAGTCTTTTTTTGTCAGGATGTCGACCACCCTGCATCGCATATGAAGACACTGTTTGGGACAAATCTCGCCTTACTACTGGTTGTCATTTTTTTCCACAAATGTTTTAGGGGTTATCTTGTTTTTGGGGGCAAAGCATGGCTTGCACAATACCGCACATTTGTATTTTTCTACTTGCAGTTATCTAGCAATACTAAAAGATTGAAAAAAAAAAAAGCTGCCGTTTTATGAAATTGTAATATGTGACCGATGGTAGTGACCAGACGCTGGGATGGGTATTCAAAGCATTCTGATCTATTTCATGAGATGATCGTGTATGGCGGGATACAGTCACGGAGTTGGGTTGTTACATTTTATGGCAATTAGTTTTGTGCTTTCTAAATATGAGATTATTTGTAATGGTATTTAGAATGGCTTTTACACCAAGCTTTCAAGGAATGAAGTGTAGATTGTGTAGTATTATGATTGGTAATGTCTTTCTATCTTCCGATTCCTTTCAGTGTCTCTATTTATTTGACTATAATAAAATACGAACGATGAACTCAATCCAAATGTATTGGGATAGGCAATACCACCTACGCTGAATCTAATTATCCCACTCGGACCAACCATCGTAGACCAATAGGTTGTGCGCATCGCATCCAGACAACAAACCCTATTGTTTCTTACCCACTTCAAAATTCTCATCGCTCCATCCAAGCCATTTCTCCATCCGCTTTCCCATTGCTCCCAACATAATCGCGTCCACAACACGCTCAAGATGGGGTTTGTGGAAGACTATCTGGCCCTGTCCAAACCAAGGCGAGCTGGCATCAGGCTCAAATTGAACGGCTGATCCTCCTGCGCTTTGGCTCGCTATGAATCCAGCGTCGGCCATGGCGTCAACGAGGGAGTTCCAGGGTACTGTCTTAGTGCGCTCCTCGAAATTCCGAGTCGAGAACATGGTTTAGAATATGGCGTACGAGTTCTTACTAACAAGTACTTTAGGCGTTGGTAAAGGTGCAGAAGTTGCAGGAGTTGTGGTTGGTTCACAAAGTATCTCCACAGAATTCTTTTCATCATCTGTGTTGGGGAGTTTTCTGGTCTTGATTTTAGAGCGAGTTGGAACACCAAGTTTCTCTGGCTTTTAAGTGCCCCACTGCTCTTGATCGATAGAATTCTCAAAGCTGCAACCTTTTTCGCGTGCCTGACTGCCATCTCTGCGTGGATTTCAGCATTTCGTTTCTCAATTGATGCGAGGTGTTCTGGATCACTATCCGCAGATAAAATTGCAAGATCATGATCTATATCTTCTTGGCCAAACCCTAGACGACGGAGAGTATGTTCATCACGAGCTCGAACTTGCACCCAAATTTGACTAAGTGGCTTTCTCTGTTGCGCGTCACTATCGAGCCATTGCTGACTGAGGCGAATTCCAGTTGGTTTTGGTGTCTCCATGAATCTTTTGGTGGGGTCTGCTAATAACTTTTCAGCCCTGATTCTTTCGCTCTGGCCTCCCTAATGGGAATATTTTCTTCGGGAAGGCCGGTCACACTATTGCAATCTCTTAACAAGTATTGATCCTCCAAATGTTTTTCGACGTAACGCCATCCACGACTTGTCCTAGTTGAATTATATCTTCGACTCCTCGTTTCTTTGCTCGAGGACAATGTAATCGGATCATCTTAAGCATTTGATACAATGCTGTGAGGCTAGAAAATCCTGTATGCACAGTTTCATCCAGTCTAGCGAGCTCTTTGAAGTGTTCGGTTTCATGGCACTTGGCCAAATGCACCTCGAGCATAGAAAATATCATCGCAGGCGTAAGAGGAGTGACTTCCTCGAGTTTATAATCGGTGCGGTTATCGAGTATCAATAACGTCAAGCAAAAGTCCAACCTGTCTATAGAAAATCCGAGCTTGGGGCAAGTGTCTTTTCGCTGCTAGCCAGTAAACGTGCCATGATTATTGGAAAGGGTGGTAACTTTGTACTCTCGCAAATACATCGGCAATAAAGAACCGAGGTATGTAGAACGCCGTCGGATTTGATTCAACAACAATGCTTCGAGCGATTCTGACGCTGCATCATAAGCTTTCGATCAAGGCTTGAGTGGATCAAGGCTCTCATTCAAAGAACTTTGCAAATTCTTTAGTTTTTCAACCTCGTCTATAATCCAACCCCAAGACCAGAATATGACTATATCCAGAATAAGTAGAACTGACGATGCGACAATAAACTTATGATAATTTTCAAGCGATTTCCCCAAGTTACTGGTCATCACGAGCTCAATATAGGGCCTAGCGTATGAAGGATGGGTCTATAGAAATCGAAGATGGTCTCCTTGTAGAGCTTGTCTTGTCTTGGCGATATTCAACAGATGATCAATATCAAAAATAGCCGGCGCCGAGAATAACTGATACAAATAGCAGGAAGCTGCTCCTGGTATGGAGTCAAATTGTCCATTCAAAGTCGTTGAGCCAAAGCTGTATACTTTATTGAATGAGCTTATTTGGCTTTTCATAGGATAGCCAGTTGTAGAACCAAGAATTTGCTCAACCGTGGATCGAAGGAATGAAAGAAGATGTGTTTGTGCTCGAGAATCAGGATAGCTCTTGGAAACCCGACAGATGTCCACCTATGTGATTCTTCCCATTTCCATTGCGTCAGCGTTCCATATGCCGACCCCGCCAAAACCATGCTATGACTGTTGTAATCGAGAGCCAGAGAGCCCATGTCCCAATGTTTTTCAAGAATGAAATTATCATAGGGGCCCACTGCTCAGAGGAATATTGGGTGCGGTTCTGCAACAGACTGAGAAACATCACAGGGTTTTCCGTCAACCCTTTTAAGTTGATGTAAGGCAGTAGACATGCATGATGATACCCTCGCATGTACCGACTTAGCTTGATGTATGAGCTGATCTAGTCACTAGGAGGAGACCGAAACGCTTTATTCAGGTGTACTAGAGGCCACCGATGCGGATATAAGTTCGGATCAACATCGCGTAAGAGGGCCTCGCGTTTATTGCGACTCTTTTTCTTCCCTTTCTAAATTATAGAATCTCCGTTGTTCTGGCATTGTTGTCGCAGATAGACTAGATTCCTACTTATGTCTGTGGTAAATCCTTCAGCCTCCTGTCGAGCTTCGGCGTCACAAGGCGCAAAGCTGTAAGCCGTTATCTTGTGTTCTTGATCATCCCGAAAACGGAATTGTTGGACACAATCGGAGCATTCGCACGGTGGCATGAAGTTGTGTCGACAACACAGAAACAATTTGTTCCGCTCTACCGGACTTGCAAAGTATTGAGGATATTTGTAGCCTGCCTGAACTATACTAGAACAAGATAATACCAATACATCGAAGGCATGGCAGACCGATATAATTTCACTCACAAGTTGCGCGCTTCAACGTCGTTTTTGGACAGCTCTTTGATCTCCCAAACCATGTTGCAGAATGCGAAGGTCTTTTAAAAAGAAGATGAAGGTGTTTGGCGATCTTTAACAAATACCACGGAAGGGTAGGTATAACTCCGGTAAATAGATCCCTCAGACGCACTATCTGTCCGGCAATATCTCAAGCTACAACTTACGATGAATAAGTTATAGCTCCAGATTAAGAAGGAAGAACAAAAGCAAAACGATAGTTCAATTTCATAGTTCAAGCGAATTTGGGACTTTCGTGACAATTCACTTCTCCCGCCTCCCCCAACTGTTTTTGCTTCCAACTATCCATGTTACGTCCCAGGCTTCCCGTAGAGCAAGGCTCGAGATCAGTTGAGACACTACAATCTTGCCAATCTTCTGGACTTCTTTTGCGGATATTGCCTATATAGCTATATTTCCATTGACAATTCCCGTCAACAATGTGGCATCGCAGTTGTCAATTCGATGAAATTGGACTCCAGATTGCAAACATTTATGTGATGGAACTTTCCCAGGGAGTGGCACAATTTCGAAATTTTGCCATTCTTGTGAATATCTGAGTATTAATTCAAGTATGAACTTTCGAAGCATCAAGAAGAGAAGCCGCACAACTGTTGTTTCAATAGTAGACTCATGAAAAGTCTCTCGCCACTCTGATACCAAAGAATGACGTTGTTGGATTTGGTCACGGAAAAATGATCAACCGATTGACGCTTTGTCAGCGCGAGATGTTTGTAAAATGCGACCACCCTAGACGCCATTCATCACATAACATCAATTGAAAACAATTCCATAAGTTAATATCAATGAACAATTATTTGGAAATCACAATCTTACTTACTTTATTTCATCCTACCTGAAGCCAAACCAAGGTAGAGATTGAAATTAAAGGTATCACGATGGACGATGCTAATATTCATGTGAAGCATGTTGAATCCACGGACGATGCCAATGCTCGTTCCATTCCAAAGCATGCTAAACCTATGGATGATGCCAAACTTCGAGTACTGCCTGTCGAAACAAATTATGGCAAAGGGGGGTTCCATCCCATACATCTTGAAGACACTTTTAAGCATGATCGCTACAAGGTCATACACAAATTAGGACATGGAGGATTCGCGACGGCATGGCTTGCGCGAGACACTAAGCGAGAAAGATATGTTGCTTTAAAAGTTCTTGCGGCACGATTGTCAAGCACTTCAAAAGAGGTTGACATGTTACGTCGGATGAAGCTGAGGCGAGTAAAGTCTTTTTGAATTCAAAGAAAAATGTTTCAATTCGCATTGCGAAACCCAAAGTTTCAACCGCAGATTTCGCATTAGTGCCCTCTTCTATTCCTTGCTCCGGTTTCGCGTTCAAGATGTTGGCTTGCGTTTACTAATTTTTCAACGTATCAGTCCCGAGCATGACGGAAAGTTTTACGTCATGTCTTTGCTCGATTATTTCACCCACAAAGGCCCAAATGGAGACCATTTATGCTTGGTTTCTGAAGTTGGAGGACCTAGCATCAAACAGTTCAATTCTTGCCCGGGTGAATATACAGGAAGCCGACGGTTGGAAGCGTCTGTGGCAAGGAATGTTTGCTTGCAGGCTATACATGGCTTGAACTATATTCATAGCACCGGTATCGTTCACGGAGGTTTGCAATGCCATATAATTCCCTACTTAATTTTCTCTCAGCTCACCATAAAATTAGATGTTACTCCTGCCAACATTCTGTTACAGCTTGCCAATATCGATGAGTGGACCGAGGAACAAATCTATGAAAGACTAGGTGTTCCTCAGAAAGAAGAGATTAAAAATGCCAGCTCCAAGCTTCCAGTAACTGATTCTTCATTTCCTGATTATACTGTTGCCGCAATCAACATGAAGGAGGTAAACCCCAAGTGGATAGCAAATGACATCGTAATAATCGATTTTGGTATCGCCTTCCTCCAAGCAGCCCCATCTCTTGACCTTGGCACGCCCAAAAGTTATTGTGCACCTGAATTCTTATTTGGTTGCTACAGAAGCGTCGCTTCAGATATATGGGCTTTGGGATGTACGATTTATGAGATTCGAACAGGATCTCGGTTATTCAAATATGATGGCATTCCCCAAAGGGACGAGATGTTGATAGCTGCAGTGAGACTTCTAGGCGCCTTTCCTGATGAATGGTGGGCTGGTTGGCAAGAAGGTCTAAAATGGTATAAACAACAAACAGAAATTAGTGCAAGATCACCAGGAAATATACTTGATCAAATTTTGCAGACCGGTATACACGATGGTGATGCTCCTCCTCCTCGACATAAGCTTAGGAACGAAGCGTTGGAATGCATCGAAAAATTCAACGAGCGTACTCGGAATGATATGCTTGATGGAACAGATCAACTCGTGGAGATGGCGGAGAGGTTGAGAACTAGCGAAGCGGAGGCTATTCTCAAGTCAGTGAATGCTTTCGATCAAGGAATATCTATCTCTCATTCCAACAAGGCCGAAAATGGTTCTGCTGCAGGATCTCTGTCGAACTCAAAGAGTTCCGAAGACAAGAGTTCGAAATCCAAGAGCTCAGAGGCTAAAAGTTCCGAGGCCAAGAGTTCAGATGCTAAAAGCTCAGAAAAGACACCATCTTCCGAGGGACTATCAACAGGCCAGTCCCGCAAAAAGTCTTTCACCAAATTTCCGGCACTAGCAGAGAAACCCAAATCGAAAGCTTCTGCGAATGTGTCCGATTCGGAAGATAATGAGACTCAGAGTGTGACAGCTTCTACCGAAGTTGAAAGTTGCGGCCCCGAACATTCTCATAGTTACCTTGAGCCATCCGGCTTCAAGATATCTACTGCTGAAGCAAAGATTCTCGAGGATTTACTCCGAAAGGCCCTCAGATACCTACCCGAGGAACGAAGCACTGCTCTGGAATTATCGAAACACATTTGGTTCTCTGATATATTCAAAGAGGTCGACTAAGGCTAGCACAAGTCGCATGTTCTTTAAGTTGTTTGAAAGTCTATCCTACTTGCAGGATTGGTTGCAAGTTTTGTGATACATTTATCGCCCATTCGTCCTATCATTAACCTCACCAGACTTTTGGATCCAATTTCGTCTCATTTAGTATTACTTTACATTTCTTTCATTCAAGACTTCCCATTATGCACCAAGCTACATTATTCACATTTTATCCACGGTGGTCTGTAGTGGTGTGTCCTGGGCAATGCCTATTGCTTCAACGTTAACAGAACGGATTCCCTCCGGAGAAATGGCTCCTAACTACTACAGAACTCTTCATCGATATTTCCGTCAATTGAATAGCTTTCTAATCATCTGATTTTTGTGATTTAAAATGGAAAGAAAAAAGTCCGTACAAATTTCCTCGTGGAGGAATCGACTTATGATCTCCCTTCTAGTGCCAGAATAATAGAGCAATTGGGTTAAAATTCCTGGCATGCGCAGTCTACGCTGATGATTATTATTCTTGGTACTTCTGTACTAGTTCGAATTCTTCCACTGGTATTTCTTTATATTCATCGTTCGCGTCGCTATCTATTTTCAGTGTCAAGTGCTGTCAGATATGTACATTGAATAGCGTTTCATGCTATATGGTTGGTAAGATAAGGGGGAAAGATGTGTTTTTCCGCGAATAAAGAGAAAAGTTGCTATGTGGGAGATCTTCCCTTTTACACATTTCTAGTTATTGCGTCTTCAAGACAGGGTCTAGTTAGCAACACAACTTACACTTCTGCACAGTACACATTGACTATGGGCCTCTCTTTGATAACACCTCGATTTCAATTATATAGATGGTGAAAGAATATGATCCCCTGCCACTTGACATATCATTTAAATGAAACCCTTGAAAAGAAAGACATGCAATACAATTAAGCTCTTGTAATCATTACCAATACTATACCATTACCCCAGCAGCATAGTAGGAAACCCTGATCTATCTACTCATCAAATAACACAACCACAAATGCAGCTCCTCCTCAGAGCGAACCCCTTGTTTTGAACTAGCTAGCTGAAAGCTCGATCTTTAACTACCTACTATCACAATGCATCATAGGGATGTATGAATCTTAGACAGTCGATAAGAGATGAGTGTCAATGATACGTCTTGATACCCCCCCCCCCCCCCCTCACCCAGCTTCTCTTTCCCTCTCTATCAACCTCCATCCGTTTCCTTTCTCGACTACTCAATACCAACCCAGAACCTTCTAGGTATAAATAACACCTTCGGATGAGCAAAAAGACACGACATATGTAAGTTATTTGAATATGTCATCAACAACTGCTCTAGTGTCGCTCTCCCACATCTCAAGGGGCAATAGGGTTTCAATACTCATCATCAAGGTTTTCCCACGAGCTCCCTCCCTGTTTAACTTTTCCGTGTCGATTGATTCGGTTACTTTCATTCCTTTCATATTGCACTCTTCTCTTTCGCCTCATCTGGGAGGTTTCTCACCTGCAATTTCTGTATCACTCATCTCTTTCTATTTCCTTTTTAGAAAGCCTGAAATTCACATAAAACACCATTCATTATTCTCTTTATCCATAGACTCATTTCTATTTCAATTCCTCTCACAAATACAAACACAAATACAAACACAACTGCACTCAGACACAAAACACATCACAGAAGAAATGAAACCCTCAGTTCAAATTTATATTCATTTAACCACTAACCAACCGACGGATTGATCAAATTTGAGGAGAATAGATATCTATCTAATTTCATTCCATATCTTCAAGAAATGACCCAGCTAGTTCCACGCACCTCAAATTCTCGCATTGTATTTCCAACAAACACACAAATGAACCAATCGAAAGAAGAAGATCCAGAAAATGCACTGCTTGATGTAAGCAGGTAAGCTATGCTGACTAACGCTCGCTTGACATATCATTTAAATTAATTCCAATTTCCACTTTCATCTCCCCCCTTCCCCTCTTTCTCCTCCCTTTCTTATCTCTCACGTCCAATTACCACTCCACAGCCCACCCGTTCTCCTCCAGAAACTCTTCAATCGCATGTTTCAATCCGAGATTGGGT